TTCATTTCACAGTAACAACACAGAACTGCGTAGTGGAAGATAAATAGTTTATATCTGAGAAAATGAAATGACAAACGTTTGGCATTCACACATTCTCCGTTATACAGTAACATCTATTTGGACAGTAACAGTTTTTCATATTGTTTGCATGCCTGATGTCTCAGGTGTGCATCACAGTGTCACATGATGTTTGGTTCACTCACTTCTGATTGTGGTTAAAAGCATATAACCTGCAGAAAGGACATTTAAACTGAAATCACAGGACATTTGGTGTCGCCAGCTGTTAATCCAAATTTTATGTCAAGATAAAAAAATGAAACGTAAATCTTGCACCTGGTGGGAAGAAAACCCAAACCACCGACTTGTTATCAGCATCGCGGCGGTGAGACAACAAGTGCATTTACCTCAATGTGAACTTGAGGGATTATCACAACCACAACGAGCGTTAGTGTCTCCGACTGTCCTTGAGAGAGAAAGTCTATAGGGGCCTTGAATGTTCGACTAAAGCCAGCGAGGGTGCTGCTCTGGGTCTCTGCTGACGGAAAACAATATGAAGATAAGCATCTGGCGATAAGAACATATAGAATATAAAAATAATGCAACTGCAATCCTGGTGTGGAATGCAGGGCTGAGATAGTAAGACACACGCAGCTTACAATATGGCCAACAGATGTAAGATATCATGCACATACACACAGAACAACAATACTGACGCCTCTCCTGAAATGCCCCGTCTTCACAAATGTAGTCTTATGGCTCAGCGGCGTCCACGAGCCGTCTTCACGATGCAAACCAGAAGCACTGCAGCGTGTAACATCAAAACGATGCTCGCTGATGGGCAGCAAGTAGAGATTAACAGAAGGACACCGACTGGTGAATCAAAAAGGTGATTCAAAGACTTAACGCATGACTTTATGACTCAATTAAATCATACAGGAGGGGAAGTTAAAAAAGAAAAGGAACGTGCACCGGCTGCTGATGAGCTGCTGCGTCTCCCTTGTTTCACCCTGCAGTGGTTTTAGGAAACTTTCAGGAAACAGCGGGAAAGAGCCGCAATCACCTGAAGGCTGCATTGTTAAATTAATGTTTCAATTATAAACAGAGCTTTTGAATAAAATATGCGTGAGTTATTTTGCATTTGGGAGGCTGGACGGGATGAAGAAAGTTTCGCTGGTAGCTGTAATGATTCCCCCTCTGCAGTGTTTCCCTGTTAGACAGAGACAGCGTCCATCTGATGGGGAACTATGTGGAAAACACTGCACATCACAAAATGAAGTTGGGAGGGAAGGATAATAAGATGATTTGAGCAAATGGCCTCGCTTGAGTCATCATCGCTGCTGATAACCTCGTTTTCTCCACAACTCGGCGGCCGCTGCCTCCAGATGACGGCTCAGCGGCGCTTCGACACGCAGAAGGAACTAAACATAAAGTATTTTGCCCGAGCATTACGTAAACCGCCCCGTGTCTAATGGAGCATCGCTGGTTGAATGACGACATTTCTGGGTTTGATTGCTGCCATTTAACATGCTATAAAAAGAAAATTAATCAAACTAAAGGAGTGAAGCGAAGGTGCTGAGCAGGAAGGGGCTCAGGAAATGGGAACGGTGTTTTATGGAGTTATTTTTGGCTTTAGGTAGCTTGACTTTCCTGAAGGGCACCGAGTTTCCTTTTATAAATTTAATTGTACTTTGGTAAACAGTCGTATACAACAGTTTGGACACCAACGGGCAGACATTTCTCCGGCTGGCAAAGAGTCTTTCTATTCTTGATTTAGGAATCTTTCTTGCAGGTCACTTCAAGTTTAGAGAATTTTTTATTTGCCTGGCACACGGAGCAAGTTGAAGTCCTCGTGGATTTGGAGCTCTGCTTTGGAAGACCGTCCAGTTGTTGAAGCCAGCGTTTTCATTTTCTCAACATCTCCATCCAGAGTTGGCCGACGTTTACTGAATCCAGTCCTCCCTCTATCTGCGCCGTGTTCCTGAGCCACCGGCTGCCAGACATACGACAGCAGACAGTTTCCACCTCCGTTCCTAACAGTTGGCAGGAAGTTCTCCTCATCAAACGCTGCACCTTGTTTCTCCAAACAGACTTTTGGCGATTGTGGCCGATTTTAACTTCGTCCGTCCTCGGCGGTTGCTTGGCTCATCCAGATGCTGTTTTTCATGTTTTCAGATGTTGACTTTAGTGAAGAGGTCACACGTGATGTTTCCTCCATGCAGGTCCTGTCTGTGCACATCCACTCCTGTGTCAGTTAAACCCTCCTGCAGCTCGTCTTCAGTCATTTTGGGTTTTTGCTTTTCCTTTCTGTGCACGTTTTTCTGAAAGTTTTCCAGCTCTTGTGTCTTGTTTTGACTTCCCCTTTAAATGCCATTTGTTAATGAGATTTAAGACAGTGGAGATTGCGAGCTGGAAGCCCTTCAACATCTCATTAAGCTCTAACAAGTCAATTAAGGCCTAATGACTTAATGTGGGAGCGTTTTACAAGAGATGCTTTTGCCACAATTACTGTTCAGTTCTTAAAATTTCTATCTATTGTTTAAGACACAGAATATCAGTCTGGACTGCAGTGCAATTTAAAGAAGTTGTTCAATACTGTTCAATCATTATTTTGACATTTTGTGAGGAGCTCAGTTTCTGTCGAGTCAAAGGGAAGATTCACAGGAAAAAAGCAGAAACATACATTTATGCCTTGTATCTTTAAACCCTTGTGATTGTCTAGGTATCTGCAAAACAAATACTTAAAAAAATTGGCCTTGAATAGTGGTTCAACATGCCCTTTCACAAAATATTCCAGAAAACTGGCTGCACTCCTGGCAGGCCAACACCCACTTAGGCCATAAATTATTGGTTCTGATGCTGTCACAGTAACGCTTCATCGACATCTTCCATAAAACTCCATAAAGTCCTTAAAAGAACATTCGTTCTGAGCCAAATCTCACTTGGTAAGGGCTTGAAAATGGGCCATTTTGTTCTTACATTTTCAAACAGAACGCTGCTTTCTAAGGAGTCAGAGATGTCAGCGGGTGATGGGTGTTAGCAGAAATGTGTTCAATAAAACATCAAGGTTAAAAAAAACTCCTGTGACTGTCATTACTCTTTTCTAAATGTGGTAAAAGAGACCACAAAAATCAGCAGATAATGAAATAATAAAACCACCTCAGTACTTAGAGGATGACATGATAAAAGCCACACATGTTCAACAATAAACAACAATAAAAGTTAGTTTGACCTGAAGTCTGACGCGTTCTTTGGTGTCTACAGGAGATCTGGCGACTGAGGTATAGAGCAAAGCATCGTGGTGTCATTTCTTTGTATACTTTGTGGGAGACTCGGATTGTTTGTCAATCGCACCACAAAGCAGAGTCGGACCCTGCAGACTGATGGCCCGTGTAGTCGCCATTACTCCATGTACATTCTGCCGCTTTCTCTTAGCGCTGGATGCCGACGGCAAAAATCGATATCAGCTGCGCAAGAACGCCAACACAAACACACACACACGGACACGCACAGACGAGCACACACGCTATGTATCATGAGAACAGTCCGGTGAAGTCGGGAGTGTGAGGCGGGAGACCCATCCGTCAGGCTGCAGCTTCCAGTGCGGCGCTACTGGTGCAGGACTGGTTGTTCCAGTTGCCATTACAGCAGCACTGATGTGCTGTTAGCGAGCTGCCAACGTGAATAATGTTTCCTCTCACAGTTCTCATGTCCACGACACTTCAGGAGTCCACATTATGATCCACGCAGTCCGAATAAATAGTAAAAAAATAAAAATGTAAAATGCACCTACATTATAATACGTAAGGCAATGATTTGTTTTTAGGGCTGAAGATGCTAACGAGGTGGTGTAATGGCACTTGGAGGTAACTTGGCTGGTTCTGCATGATACTTTTAAAGCAGAAGTTTTGAGCTATAAGGCTGAACACTAAAAAAAACAACAAAAACAATCTATTTCACTTTGGTTTTCTCCAAATTCTGGCTCTAAACTTCAGCCTGACACTTTATCAGCAGGTTGTTTTAAAAGGCTTCTAGTCCTCAGACTCATTAAAACTTATACCAAAGCTCTGGCTGTTATCTTCAGCCACGGTCAGCCCAGTTTGACCCGCGTGTCCTGGCTGTAGAGCAACACCTGGAGCAGGATGAACACATCGATCAGGATCTGGACTGAACCGCAGACCCAGAACTGAGCCGGGCTTTCGTTCATCACGAAGTAGGTGGTCTTGAAGACGTCGCCGGCCGTCCACAGCAGAACCATCTTCACACTGGAGCAGCAGAGACACAAAGAGACACAGAGAGAGTTAAAGGAGGACATTTTGGAAAACAAATGAGAAGATCAACATTAGCTTAGCTTAGCATGAGGCTAAACTGGAAACAAGGGGAAACAGCTGGCCAGGCTCAGTTCAGTCATAAACAGCTCCTCTACACCTCACAGATTGACATCATACATCTCATTTGCTAAATCTATGAAGCTAAAACTACAGGCTGGTCACACAGCCCTTAACGAAGACAGAAAAACACACAAAGCTGCAGTGGATGTTTCTGAAAGGTCGGCTGTGAATTTGCACTTTTATGGCAGTTTGTAGCTGTAGTTATTATTCCTGAGTTGTGTGGAGTACAGCGGACGGGCCGAGCACAGGACTTGGGCAGAACTTCACACTGTGTTTGGTACAAATCAAAGCAACGTTTTCAATTACAGCATTTCTAATGAATAATTATAACGATGTGGATGACAGAATCTGCACATCCTGTCCTCATAACAAGCTGTTGTTTTAATCTGCAGCTATCTTCCTGGTGCATGTGCAGTCTTTGTGTCTGCGGTACCGACAGTCCAATCAGCCACAGATTCTGGCTGCACATGGACGTCTGCACAGGGGTTCCTATAGAGCCTCGCGGACTTGGGTGGGTGATGAAATTTACATCAAGAACACCCTACACAATGTATTGACAGGCTGCCAAGTCGGTGCTAATCCCCACCAACAGATAGGACGGCACACAAAGTCTCATAAAATCCAACACGTTAATTTTACACTTATTTTGATGAAGACGCTTCGTATGAGGGAAACACTGACGGTGGTGGGAGACAGACTTTATCACCACAGCTGGCTGTTTGACGGAAGGATGAGGTTCCCAAAACAAAGGCAACGCACTAAAAATAAACTTACAACACTCTACCAGATATAGCCTCTCCCTTCATCAAACAGATTTATTTTGGTTTGGTCTGGACTAAGTAGCTGCTGCCCAAAAAACAGCAGGAGAGAAAAATCATGGCCTGAACTGACTGATCAGACCAACACAGAGAAAGATGCACACAAGAATGAGAGACACAGGGCCTGAGAAAAAGAAAAAGGCTTTCCAGAGGACACTAGTCATCCGCCAAGCCGGAGGCCTGAACCCGACTCTGTCCCCTGAAGGACTCCTCTGAAACTCTGCAGAGAGCTTTAGCCGGAGAACAGAGAGGATCCTCTGGTATCACTGCCTATTGTTCTCCTCCACTCATCCCTTTCTATCCTATTTAATCCTTCATCTATTTCTTTTTTTCCTGCTATTCTCTTTCATGCCGTGTCTTCCTTCCAATCTCTTCCTTCTTTCTGTTGCTGTCGTGGCTCATTTGCTGTCATATTTCTTTAACTCTTGCCCTTCACGCTCTCTGCTCTCACCTCACTCCTACGCCACCTCCTCTCTGCTCCCTTCTCTATTCTTTATTCTTGCTCTCTGGTCAGTGAAGTCCCATAGGCGTGAATGCAATATGTTTTTTTTTTATTTTTATTATTATTAGAGCTGACTGGGTCTTGGGATGGAGCAGAACCATCAGTCATCGGTGGGACGTACTGTACGGGTCAGACATGGGTGAGGGAGAAGGGAAAAGCAGAGAGACAGAGACAGAGAGGCTGCAGAGGACCAGCATTCATCTGGCATGCAGCGAGAGAGACAGGGCTAAGTCATCGCACCCACCGGAGAGAGGGAGACGGACCTCTGTGGACGGGGAGGAGACCTCTGTGAGGCTGCTGTGGATGCTGAGTGTGTATCGGGGTGGAGGCAGACTAATGACTACGGGGACAGCAGGCCTGCACTATCCTTCAGCTCCCCTTGCAGAGTCACATCAGACTCTCCCCCGGGCTCCCTTTGGGCCCCGATGTGGAACCGACACACTGGTGGCAAACAATCCTGCCCTTCCACGGAAACGGCACAGAAATGAGGGCAATATTACTTAAAATATCTGTGAATGTAGCGGGCAATGCATGCGGTGTGGAAATGTGATGAACAACCCAGACTGATGGAGAGCTACTGGATGGGTAATGATCGGAGCTGGACTCACAGCTGTTTGGATAGATGGGACCGTGATGTTGCACATCTGTAAGAACACACCCAGATGTTTGCTGACTGACTGTCTGATCGGGCTGATTGTTGCTGTTGGGTAAGCTGGTAGACATATTGTGTTTTTGCAGACGTTGTTCGCAGTAGCTATGATTTAAGTATTACAAACATTACTCTGACTCCGGACATCCTGACTTCATTCATTAGCAAGTGCTGTTGCAGGATTACTGGTTGCTTTTGGTGGTTTAAAGTCACAACGGCGAGTAGACCCAAGAAAGACAAACACTTGTCCTTTTTATAACATGGGACGAACAACAAGGATTGTGCAAGAGTCGCCAGAACTGATCAGGTGTTAGAATAATATAAAATCCGTTGCCAGCTTCAGGCAACCAGCTACACTTTTGGTAAATAGTCTGCACTACTATAGCACTTTTCTACCTTAGCGGCACTCAAAGCGCTAAAAACGCAAAGAACGAGCCGCGTGGTTCCTGCAGACGCATTTATTTTTTCGTGGAATCACAGACGGTGTCGGATTTAGTCTTTTAACGCGATTTATACCTGAAATGCATCAGTTTAGCTCCAAATACAGCTGAGTTGTTCCATCTCAAATCACCAGGGTTCTTCTGTTCAACCGTCATAAACAAGGAATATTTGTAAAGATATGTGAAAGTTCAGCTTCGTGTGTCAAATACTTTTAGAAGACTGCCCATCGACCCACTTTCTGCAGGTTTTTTTCTCACATTGAAGTTTGAGGCTGTTTGAATGACAGTGTCTTGGGAGCTCTTCAAGATAAAAGCCTGAAATTTCCACTTACTTCTCATGTCACTGATGTTTTCTCATTCACCCATTCACACACATTCATACACCAACGGCCACAGAGCTGCCATGCAAGGTCCATTATAGGAGCAACTTCAGCTTTAGTGTCTTGCCCAAGGACACTTTGACAGCGGAAGGGCATCGAACCACCAACCTTACGATCAGAGGCTCCACCACCTGAGCCACAGTCGCCCTTATCAAACAGACACTAGAGCGGTGGAGATGTGATAGTGGTGCAAGCAGTGGAGCTGCACCGGGACAGTCTAAGTGCGGTAAACTTATCTACCTCCTGTAGCTCCGCTAAATCGATGATAAGCACATTACATTTCTCCATAACTTCTCCAAGAGAAAAGCATCCCGCTGGTTCACCAGTGGAAAGCTTTTAATGTGAAGGAGTGACAGCGAGAAAGGTTCAGTTACCAGCTGTAATTTAAAACAGCTCCGATGTGGTTGATGGCAACGAGTCAACGTGAAAAAGGGCTGATGTCTGAAAAAACAAACACAGGACTGAAACCGAAGCAGCCATGATGAGGTAGATGCCACACGGATACCAGGACACGCTGCTACATAGAGTTTAGACACACTGGTCTCACGGTGGCGGCTCGGCTACCAGCAGCATTGTGAGCTCGGCTTAGCAGGAGGAAACCAATGCACTAAGATTTATTTGCCATCATTGCTTATCACTACCTGTGTCTCTTCTCTCTCCGGTAGTTTCTGTTGTGCCCTTTCTGCACTGACCTCCTCAGTGTTCATCCTCTGATGTCTCTGCTATCCTTTTCTCTCTCCCCTTTAACCTCATCCTGACCATCCAGGCAGACGGCTGTCCTCCCTATGCTGAGCTTCGCTGGAGGTTTTTTCTTCAGTGAAGCTTCGTGAAGCCAAGCAGCTGCTCAAAGGGAATCCAGTTGATTCGTTGGGTTTTCTAAACATGTGAAGCGCTCTAACCCGATGACCACGACTTCCTGTATGTTATGAACAGTCGCTATATGAATCAAACTGAACTGAATCGAATGATGCAGCTTAAACAGACTGACCCACGCCTACCGAGACACTCGAAGAATGCTGTTTTCACAAATATGACAAAAAGGATTTCATTTGGAAAAATGGAAGAACATGCAACTTAGTTTACACTTTCATACCCGAAAAATTACAGGAATCCAGCTTAAACAGACTGAGCCACGGCTTCCCAGACACTGGAAGAATGCTGTTTACAGAAATATGAAAGAAGGTATGAAAGGAAGAATATACTTTACAGTTTATATTCCCTTCCCCCAAAAAAGTGAAAATAATTCAGATTTCAGTTCAACTTTAAAGTAAGTGTGCAGCCTTTGAAAGCAGAAATAAAACATTCTTCCTTTTATAAATGAAAGGCTGAATTCATCAGCCACAAAAACACATCCTTGATTAGCACACTTAGATGTTTTGCTCCAACTTACTTGGTTTTGCTTGATCAGTTGCTTTTGGAGGCTTATGTTGGGTTCAGACAGACATAAAAGACTCTTTTTGTGTTCCTCTGCCACTTGCGCAGCTGTTAGCCTGCATCATTATTTCCTTACATAAGCACAAGTGATGCAATTTCTACAAAAATGCATTTTGTTTTGAAGCACTTACAAAGTATGCCGGCTTTTTTCTTATCGGCTTTAGTTCTGCTTTCAGCCGCGCGCCTTTCCGAGTTCAGCTGAAGGTGAATCCTTTCGTGATTAAGTGCTATCGCAGTCCTGTTTCTATACGTGGCCTTGAAATTAGACAGGACACTCATGAATACAGAGGGGTGAACGCTGACACTGAGCTCAGACGACAAACTTGTTTTCAACCGTCGGCGCCTCTATTTCCTTTGGAGTGTTTGTTGTCTGCGTGAACATGAGGCTCACTTTATAAAGGTGTACTTTAATGATACGGATTAATACTGAAACGCAGAGCTTGAAATTTTAGTCTGTTAAAGTTTGCAGGTAAGATTACACCCACAACTTTCACCCCCTAAATTACTGAGCAGTTTGTTATTCTGCAGTCCATTAGAAATCCTTCAGATGCTTTGAACTCTGAGCTAATGACCTTATTTATCCACATCCTGTAATCGCGACAGCTTGTTGTGCACAACTTAACAAGTTTTGCTTTAAAAAAAGACGCAGAA